GTGATTCAATATAATAGGAAGGAATATCATGTCGGCCAGGAATTTTTTTATCTCAAAAATCAATTTCCTTCTATTTCAATTCACTCATAGTTGTTGAATTATAAGAGAATATTGAAATATGAAAATTTTAACACATGCTTAAATAATTATAGATCAATTAAAATAATGGGAAAAAAAATATTGAGATAGAGAATCAGAGGGAACCAGTGGTGTTGGCCTATTGTAAAATTCAATTGTAATTGTTGAAACTAATAAGAAATATGCCAACTAGTATTCAACTAAATGCTATTTGGTGGCCAAAATGGGAGGCTCAATTCACTGTGAGATCACATTGAAAAAGAGATTCTTACATATTTTTCATTAAAAATGGTCTATCAAAATTATGTGGGGTCAGTCATGTACCTATAAATCATCTTAATGGCCATTTTTTTTAAAATGATGTGGCCTAAATTGTCACGCCCTCAAAATAAACCCATAATAACCATAACATTAACATGCATTTATAAAAGAAACTGAATCATTTGAGTTATTCATCAGAGTATTCTTATTGAAAGACATCACATGTAACATCCTGCAACATCAAAATAAATGCCCTAAGGGCTTACTGTAATTATTTATATTTTCCTATTCTAAGTGTTATTCTTATAGTTGTAGAAAAATCCATTTCATGATAATTTCACTCAATTTTTTTTGACCATTTAAAAAAAATAAATTAAATTAATGTGGAAACACAATTCGAATTGGAATAATGCTTGAGGCCTCGAATTTCTCTCAAATTGAAATTATTATTATTATTATTATTATTATTATTATTATTATTATTTTGTTAAGGCAATTTTTTTTTCTATCTTTTATTTTCCTTTCTTTTTTGCGAGAGTGATTATGTGTATTAGACATCTCGCACTAACTCAGTTTGTATGGTTTGATAAAGTCCAACCTAATTCACTTACCTTATCAAACTATATATGCTGAGTTTTTTTTTTTTTTCTATTTGTTGGGCTTTGTTGGTTTGGTTTTTTTTTTTAAAGGTGGTTATGTGTAGAGGTGTGTCAAAAAAACTAGACATCCCGCACCAATTCATCGTACAAAATTATATGGAATTAACGAATGTTAACCAAAAGTTTAACTGATCAGTCAATTAGGTTAGACTGGTTGAATGATAAAATTGACTGATCAGTTAAGCTGTTGGTTAAATTTTGTTAATTTCATATAATTTTATACGATGAGTTGGTGCAGAATGTCTAATTTTTTTGGAACATCCTTACCCATAACCATCCTTGAAAAAAAAAAAAAAAAAAACCGCATTTGAGGCAAATTGGAGGCCTCGAATTCGAGGCCTCTAGCACTACCATTCGAATTGTTTTAGATAAGCTATGACCCGACCCACCGGTAGCTGTAACTTTTAACTGACGGGCCTCAACTTTTTAGGCTCAAGTTTAAAGTTTCACCGAACCTCTCATCTCAACGGTTCGTTCAAATCGATGGGCTGTTGGGCCTTTAATAGCAACTGATGCGTCGATGGATTAGAATCAAAACATCAATGGGGCAAATTACATATACCTCTCTCAAGGTTTAACTAAATTACAGATGCCCTCCCTAAGGTTTGAAAAATTACAGATACCCCCTCAGATTTATATTTTCATAACAAATTACCCCCTGAAGTTTATATTTTCATAACAAATTGCCCCCTAATTTGTTATGCAAATTTAACCTTCAGTGGGGTATCTGTAATTTCTCAAACCTCAGGGGGTATCTGTAATTTAGCAAAAACTCGAGGGGGTATATGTAATTTGCCCAAAATCTCTCGAAACATGTTTATATTTTAAAATAATAATAATAATAATAATAATAATAATAATAATAATAATAAAAAGTCAAAAAATTAGAAATGAACTAATTTGTTAGCATTGTTTTTTTACAATAATGCTAGATGATTACTTTTTTTATTATTTATTATCATCATAGATGTTAAAATTGTGTTAGTATATCTCATCATTCATATTTATGTTTTACACGTGAAATAGTGAGTAAAATATTGTAATTCTTAACATTATTATGCTTTTTTGGAGGTCTTATTTTAGTTAATGAGCTAAGGATGCCTTAGTTACACAAAGTAGTTCTTAGGCATTAGGCAAAGAGCATTTCTCTTATGCCTTGTAAGACCAGGCTTGATATTAGTATCAATATCTTCAATTGTCATCCCAGCAGGTAATTCCCAATCAAATGAGTAAAGAAGTTTGGCAAGTGCAAGCTCTACTGTTGCAAATCCCAGATTGATCGTAGGCTGCTCTTCGACCAGATCCAAATGGAATTAGTCCAAAATTTAGTCCTCTAAAATCAGGGTCCCTTCCAATGGCCCATGAATTAATATAAACCGGGGTTCTAGGTACCCATCTATGATGCACTTGTCAATTGTTTGTTGCGGCAAGAGCGGAATGGGTGGGTACAGTCTCATTGCCTCCTTTATCACTGACTTCAAATAAGGAAGCTTTTAAATATCATCTTCGTCCACCATATCTTTCTTTCCAATCGACTTTCTTACTTCTTGAACTTTCTCCATCACAGCTTTTTCATCAGCGCAGTCATCACCCAAACCACGGTGGCTGCACTTGTGTCAGGTCCACCTGTGAAAATATTCTACAACGTAAAAATATTATTATTAATTTTTTGGGGGCTTTTGAAAGGAGTGGAAATTTGGAGTTTTAAGCAATGTTTAGTTCAAAATGAGATTCCACTAACAGAACTTAGTGGTGCTTTTAGTCTACAACCACATGAACAAGAAATTATATGTAGTTTTTTTAGTCACTAACTCATCATGAGCACTGCTTTAATATGATTTAAAGTCAGATCAATTGGACTGAACTGATCCTTTCTCAGTTGAAGTAAGATGCCAAGGATGTCCTCTTGCATGAATTCAGTCCTCTTTGGATTGAGATGATCATCAACGAATTCTTGATAGAACAAATCCAATTCCTTGAAATTCTTCTCAACCCTAGCACTCATTCCAGTGACTACATCAACCCAACCCATCAAAGGAAAATTGTTAGAAACAAAGAAGCTTCCCATCATTGCCTGAGCTTCATTAAGAAAAAAAAAATAATGTTACAAATTTCAGTTACTTAAATTGCCTGAGCGTCATTAAAAAAAAAAAATTATTGTGTAAATTTATTTAAAAGTAGGAAAATGTCTCGTAACTCAAATTTTGTGGCTCAAAAGTGGCTCAAATGGCCAAAACGACGTCGTTTTGGCCATTTTATTTTGTGGCTCAAAAGTGGCTCAAATGGCCAAAACGACGTCGTTTTGGCCATTTTTATGTTGTTCTGTACTCAAAACGACGTCGTTTTGCACTTTTGAGCCACAAAATTTGAGCTACGTAGCATTGTCGTTAAAAGTAATGTTACAAATACTAAAAAAAATTTTAAAAAAATGCTAAAAATTCTAAAAAAATTGGACAAATTATCCACATGTCCTCTTTGAAAGAAGTATACTCTATTTAGTCCCATAATTTTTTTGTGTAAACTCAAAGTCCCAAGGCTAATGAGTTATTTCCCACAGTAGTCATAGCAATGAATATCATGCGCTTTTCTCTCCCAGAGATGCATTGCATGTTTTTTTTCTAGGAAACTCTCTCTTTATTAAAGTACTATCTGGATTCTAGCTTTCTCTTCTTTCAAGAAAGGTTATGTGTGAAGTTTTGTACTATAATTATGCATGTGGTGGTGGTGCCAGAGTGATTTCATTCGAAGGAGAGAAGATGGCGAAGTGTCACCGGAATTCTTCTCTCTCTCTTTCCGCTTTACACTCATTGATGACCAGCAATCGGCGACCATCATTAATTGTGATTCACTGACAACTATCAACTACCGACTCCTTGCTTCGCCCGACGAGAAGGCAACTATCAACTACCGACTCCTTGCTTCGCCCGACGAGAAGGTGATGAGTTTCTAGCGATGTTCTTCACATAGATTTGCTCAGATTTGGTCAAGATCACAAGACAACTCACTAGAATATTCAAATTTAGAGTAGATATAAGTAAATCGACATCAAATTCGGCTAAATCTAAATAAAAATAGTTGTCGGAGTTCTATCTCTCTACGTTTGCCTCTCTCCTTTGATCTATCAGTTTTTACTCTTTTCTCTATTACACACTTCACTCTTCCTGTTTTAATTGAGAAAATTTTTAAATTCTGAACAAAAATGGTGAAAATTGTAAAATTTTATAATTTTGAAGATACATTTCTACTTTTCTCTATGGCTGTAGCCTTTTTTTTTTCTTTATTAAAACAACAAAAAAAGTTTAGCAAATATTGACAAACTAAAAATTTACAAACTCTTAGAAACTTTTGATCTGAGATCTCCACCACTGCCATGACATGAAATTGTATTTTGATAAACAAGCAAATTGATAATTTTTGTAGTATTAAAACTGTAAATTTATGCTACTTGATGAGCAATTAATTCAAAATTTAAATTTTTATAAATTTGCGAATTGAAAATTATGTACTCTAAAAGAGTTTTTTTTTTTTTTTTTTTTCTTCATGTTTTGTGATGCTGGAGAGCATATGATTAAATTTTGTTATGTTTTCACTCTAGTTTCTTTATTTTTTCTTCTATTTTTTTTCTCCCTAATGATGTTCTGGACATTTTGGTGAATCTCCGACGATATTCTTGATGTCCAACGACAGACATTCTGGCGACTTCCGGTAACGTTCAGAATACTCTGGCGATACTCTGAGAACTTTCCGACGCTGTTGAACATTATAGCAAGTCTCTGATTGTCAGACGAAAATTCGACGATAATCTGACGATAATAGGACATGACAGCGTCTTTAAATTTAGTAATAATTAAAAATATATAAAACTAATTGCAACAAATAATTTATTTTGAAATTAGATGGATTTTAAACCGTTGAAATAAGACCTCCGGTTAGTGCTCCAAAAATTACCAAATCATTTAGATATGGTGTGGGTCAAGATGAACATTGCCATTTGGGCCCAAATCATGTGAATCTCTTCCATAATTCGGGTTCGAACTCATTAGAGCTTCTCACAGCCAAGATATCACAAGCTTCAATCTCCGCTCCAAAATGAAATGTAGTCGGAACGTTTTCATCATTGGTGGATATGTCGTTGAAGTTAATCTCGAAAAGCTTAAACCCGATTTTTGATTCAAATGGGATCCATTTAGGTTTAGCAGTGAGTGAAGTCCTCTGGTGTTGTGCGATCGTCTCCACCACTCGTGCGCTTTGACACTGGTACAGGACCCAAAAAGCACAACGCAGGCACTGAAGAAGACTCTGGGGATGCCGAGTTTGGAGGCAAGAGGGCCGAGCCAATATGGTGCGAAATCGTAAATTACCCAATGGGGAGATAAATCTGAGAGAATCTGAGGCATGGGCTGTTGGAGTTGATCGTAGGAAAAGGCCTTCACGAGGTACTTGACTTTGTGGTGGCGAAGATCGAGTGTGGATTTTGCGTTTCGGAGGAGTTGGTCCACTTTGGATATCACTAAATTGATGAAAGGGGATAGATTTGGAGGCAATTTGGGGAGTCTGGATGTTTCTAGGAGTGGATACGAAAGAGACTCTTAGACCATTTTGGGCTATGAGCTCCATTTTCTCTAAGAATGGAAACATATGACCAAAGGCTAACCATGGGAACATAAATATGTATGGGTTTTCATCTCTGGCCATGCACGACGACGACGACGACAACTTAGGGGGTGTTTGGTGTGGGGTTTAGCAGTGAGTGAAGTCCTCTGGTGTTGTGCGATCGTCTTCACCACTCGTGCGCTTTGACACTGGTACAGGACCCAAAAAGCACAACGCAGGCACTGAAGAAGACTCTGGGGATGCCGAGTTTGGAGGCAAGAGGGCCGAGCCAATATGGTGCGAAATCGTAAATTACCCAATGGGGAGATAAATCTGAGAGAATCTGAGACATGGGCTGTTGGAGTTGATCATAGGAAAAGGCCTTCACGAGATACTTGACTTCGTGGTGGGGAAGGTCGAGTGTGGATTTTGCGTTTTGGGGGAGTTGGTTGACTTTGGATATCACTAAATTGATGAAAGGGGATAGATTTGGAGGCAATTTGGGGAGTCTGGATGTTTCTAGGAGTGGATACGAAAGAGACTCTTAGACCATTTTGGGCTATGAGCTTGGAGAGCTCTAAGAATGGAAACATATGACCAAAGGCTAACCATGGGAACATAAATATGTGTGGGTTTTCATCTCTGGCCATGCATGACGGCGACGACGACGACGACTTAAGGGGTGTTTGGTGTGGCTGATAAACATATTATAGCTTATAACTTAATAGATTATCAGTAACGATACATAACTTTAATACTAGAGTTCTAAATAGAGCTTTAATGAGGTGGGAGAGAGAGAAAGACTAGAGAGAGGAGTGTGGGTTCTACCGTCACATAGACACTCTCCACATTATTGGAATTGCATTAGAGCTCTCAAACATTATTTTATAGATTATAGTTTGTAGTTTTAATCAGAAGTTATTAATCTGTTTGGTATAATTGTTAGATTATAGATTTAAATTAGTGAGTAGTATTTGTTTAATAAACTGTAAAATAACTTTTTGATGTATAAATATATTTTGTACCCCTGTTAGTTGTAAGGTGAATTTATCTCTACTTTTTGTAATTAATTATCATTTTTTTTTTAGTAAGAATATCTATTTTGGATTTGAAGCTCTCTTGATTCATTCAATTTTCTTTTGCTTTTTTCATATATATATACTAGCCCATCACCCGTGCTATGCACGAGATAATTGTAGATATTTATATTTGTTTTAGATTTTTTTTAATATATAAATTATGTTTTTTTTAATTTTTTATAAAAATAATTTAACAATCTTATCACTAACCATAATATATGGGAGAAGTTGAAAAGGGTACTGGAATAACTATACACAGATTGTATCTATAATTATTTGTATGAGGGGATTTTAAATGTTGATCAAGGGATTTTGACCAAATCAATAAATACAGGCATATGGGAAGACATGTGGACTGAAAAAAGTTAATAAATGCTGATCAAGGGATTTTGACCAAATCAATAAATGCTGAGTTTTTTTTTAAAATAAAAAATTAAAAAAATTCAGATTGGGATATTGAAGCTCTCACAGGCTTTGGGGGTTAAAAACCCTCTTTTGCTTAATATATAGTATAGAGATATATATACATAAAGTACTTGTCTTTTTCTTTTCTTTATCTTTACGTCTCTCTTTTTCTCTCACACTCTGTGTGTGTGTATATATGTGTACACAGTCATCGATTTTATTTTATTTTTTAATATGAATTGTTATGTGTGTTTATATATATATATTTTGGGTTAAGTGTGATGTGGGTTTGGAACGCAGAGGCGAAGGGGATGGGCAAGTTCTCACAACGACGGCGAGACGGTGAGAATGAAGCTGAGGTTGCTGCTATTGGGAAAGACGACGAGAATGGGCAAGTTCTTCTTTGGTTTTTCTTCTCTGATTTTTCTATAGTATAGCAAAAAAGTAAATAATTGAAAAGACAAAGGATATTTAAGTAATACTCCTTCCCCTCCGCATAAGCTGAACCTACGAAGCTACCTCCTAGCAGCTTTAGATTCAAAGCTTATTTCTGCTTCAAAAAAGTTGTTAGAAGCAGAAGTAATTTTTCAAAAGCTAAAACTAACTATCTAAATTAACTTTTTTCAAGGCTAAAATCTATAAGTTGGTCTTTTTAAGCTAGACCAAACACCCCCTTAGGCATGGACTCCATGTTTGGAACTTTTTTTTTTTTTTGTTTTTTGTTTTTTTTTTCTACTACAGGAAAATCCATCCACTCTCTCGTAGGTCCAAGGCAACGCCCCTCACACAGATTACTAAGATATCATGTTGTTCGTTCCGAGTAAAATACTATAACCCGAGAACTTGTCCTGGCCCCCCAAGAGCTTAAATCAGGACTCACGCAGCGGGGGAATAGCTAATTCACACCAAGTGTTGGGGTAGTGACAATTTGAAATTTAACCTCCTAACCAACTGTGCTACGTCCAGGAAATTAACCCAAGAAGTTTCGAACTTGAGACCTGGGGTCTTAACCCCTAGGCCTTTACCAAATGTGCTACTGCCTTGGTTCCATGTTTGAAATTGATCACTTTCTCTTTTACCTTTCCTATATGAAGTGGAAGAGCAGCGAAAACAGATAACACTAGGGGTGCTTAGTGGATATTTGGATTCGCCCAAACCAACCGAACCGATCCGCCGCATTTTGAACGGATGCGTGATGACGAGCAAATAGTTGTCGATTGAATTTTTTCAATCCGTCTAATTTTGGACAAATGGCGGATTTGAGATTTCTTTAGCCGTAACCGAACAGCCAAACCTCAAGCACCTCCAGTAATTTTTACAATTTTGCATTTTCAATTTGTTTAAATATTATGTTTGTGTTTTCAATTGAAAAAGAGATATTCTGTTGTATTTTCAATTTGGAAATCCTTTTATCAAATGGCAAGTGTTGATATTTGGTATTTTTGTATCAAAAATATCAAATTTAATTTTGTCATTTTTTAAAAAAATCAAATTAAATAGTTTTTGTATTAAAAAATGTAATTAAATAGTTTCGATAATGCGTGATTTTCTTATATGTATTTATTATTGGTATTTAACAATTTACTTGATAATCATTTGGTTATGTTGAGTTAGATTGTTATCCAAAAAAAAATATTGACAAGTTATTATATTATGTTCAAAATTTGTAAAAGTTTAAATCACCAAACCGATTTGCATCGATCCGCGAATCCGCTTAATCCGCATCCGCCAATCCGACAAACGGATGCGGATTGATTTTTTCCAATCTGCCAATCCAGCGGACAGATGGCGAATTAGAGGTTTCCCGACCACAACCGAACCGCTAGCACCCCTTGATAACACTACCTACTTTTACTTAGAATTTTATTACACTAATTAAATCTCAATTATTCATTTCAATTCTGAGTAGTTTTCTTTAAGGCGGAGTGACAAGTAGTTAGCACTATAAGGGTATTATGTAGAATTGCTTTAAATGTATAGTTCACTTTGAATCCGCATCCGCCAGTCCGACAAACGGATGCGGATTGATTTTTTCCAATCCGCCAATCCAGCGGACAGATGGCGAATTAGAGGTTCCCCGACCACAACCGAACCGCGAGCACCCCTTGATAACACTACCTACTTTTACTTAGAATTTTATTACACTAAATCTCAATTATTCATTTCAATTCTGAGTAGTTTTCTTTAAGGCGGAGTGACAAGTAGTTAGCACTATAAGGGTATTATGTAGAATTGCTTTAAATGTATAGTTCACTTTGACTTGTCCAAACTTACTGTGACAACCCTCACCACTGATTAGTGCTAATCTATGATTAAGCATGTTAAGTAACTGATTAGGATGAAATCCTAAACTGATTGCATGAATGTGTTATGTTAAATACATTTCTATTTGTTTGTCATTGATTTATCTGTTCATGTTTTAAGTTTCGAACTATAAACTGAATGCCTTATCGGTGGCCGAACCTGGAACCGATTAGTGTTTTGTGTTAATTAGAATTTATGTGATTTTATGGTATGTTTAATTAAAATTTGATATGGTATGATTAAATTAGATTAAATAATGTTAAATTACATTAGTTGGCTTATTTACCCTTTTGCCATTAAGTGGACCTTGCTAGACCAAATGTTTAGTCTTGATTTACATGTGTTGGCATCACTTTTCCTCAGCCATTTTGAGTCCAAAACCGTAGGAGAGAGTGAGAGAGGAGAAGTTTGGCATCATTTAGAGAGTTACTTGGAGAACTTGAAGAATTGAAGAGTAGATTGCACATTTGAGCTTGTATACCTTGAATTCAAGACCTAAGGTAGGATGTTTACCTTCTTGTTTGTGAATTTAAGTTGGTTCTTGCATGATTCATGGAAATTTGGAGATTAAAGTCAAGAATTGGTTTATATGTTGATTTGAGTAGGAATTCATGCATGCATGTTTACATTCTTGGATTTTGAAGTTGTTTTCATAGAATCCTCACATGCATGTCCATATTTGGGTTATAGTTCATGAATTCATCATGTTTTTGAGTGAATTGGCTCATTTGATCATGTATTGGAAGCTTTGATGCCAATTGAATTCATGCATGTTGCATGTTCATCTTGTTCTTGAAGTTTTGTTTGGAAATGGGTTCAATTGAACTACATTTGGGCTTTGATTTTGAAATTGATATTTGAAACATGTCATATTATGAGTTTTAAAGTGTTTTCCAGAAAATTAGCCCAAAAGGATCAAATTTGATGCTTTAAAAGTTGAGTTTCATGCTTGGAGACAAATCTGGAAATTCCAGATTTTGGATCCATGCTCGAACGAGGAACTTCATGCTCGAGCGTACACTCTGAGTTCATGCAGTCCACTCGAGCGAGTAAAGTCACGCTCGAGAGTGAACTGCGTGTATCCAGTACTTTGCATGTGTTTACAGTCTGCTCGAGCGAGGAAATGCACGCTCGAGCGAGGACTTGTGTCTTACGCTCAAGCGGGGGTCGAGCGCCCGTCGAGCGTGAATTTCATGCATCCAGTACTTTTGCAGTCCACTCGAGCGAGGAAAGTCA